TTTTGGTACCAGGGATTGAATTTGGGGCCTTGCACTTACAAGGCAGGAGGCAGAACCACTGAGGTAAATCCCCAGCCTCCAGCACTGACTTTTATCTTACATGTGAAGTTTTGAAACTAGGACAAATTCTCTGTGAGATTCCCCCGGTTGGCAGCACAACTGTCCGAGAGCTTCCACAGTAGCCAACCATCATTGTCGACTTAAATGCCTTTCCTAGTGCACCACCTGTGCTTAAATCTCTTCTCGGTTATGCAAGGTGTTTGCTCTGTTCAGAGCACGACTCTCATCACATACTTACTCATCCTCTTAACAAGAGGGGTGGGTGTGTCCACATGAGCAGGTGACCCAGACCGTCACGTCAGCAGTGGGTGGTGGAAGGATGATCAGGACTTGGGTTGTTTGCTTGCAGGGTCCACACTTTCAACTAGGATTTTTTTATTTTATTGTTTAGATTTTGTTTTATTTTGGATTAGCTTATCACAAAGAAACAAAGCTATAGGGGATCTTCATTTCTTGTGGGTTTGTGGTGTGTTTCCTGCACCTGTTTAGCAGTAGGGATGGAGCCCCCAGGGGTGTTCTGCTACTGAGCTACATAGAACTACATCCCAGCATTTTTATTTTGAGATGGGCTCTTGCTGAGTTGCCCAGACTAGCCTCCAACTTGTAATCCTCCTGCCTTAGCCTTCAAAGTAGCTGAGACTTACTAATACCACCGAGTCTGAGGGGATATATTGTGTTTTTATTTTGGGGGGAGATTTTTTTGGTACCAGGGATCAAACTCAGGACCTTACACTTGTGAGGCAGGTGCAGTGCCACTGAGCTAAATCCCTAGCCGTAGATATTGTTATTTTGTGTATTTATTTTTTATCACTTCACAAGATTATAAATAGTCTTTTATATAAAGCTTTACTTATGGAACAGGTAAGAGACTAGTGTCTAGACTTGCCATAAGCTCTTGAGTAGGGCTGCCTGGGTTTGAACCTGTTCATGAGCTGGCCACTCACCCCCTTGGTGCTTCCATCTCCATCCCATAAAAGCATACAGGATAAGTACAGTACCCGCCTCATGGGATGGTGGTGAAGATACAGCACATGGTACTGGGAACACCCAGGACAGATCTGGTGATCCTCCTCATTGAATTTGGGCCCACCGCTTTTCTGTGGTGAGTGATGATTCTGTAAAGCAATTCACTGACTTCTTCCCAAATCACTGTCTTTAGATCACAAGGTTTACATCTGGCACAAACGTAGTGAACTGCCAATTGCGGAGCTGACAGGGCACACGCGCACAGTGAACTGTGTGAGCTGGAACCCACAGATCCCGTTCATGATGGCCAGCGCCTCTGACGATGGCACTGTTAGGATATGGGGACCAGCCCCCTTTCTAGACCACCAGAATGTCGAAGGTAACGCTCCAGTGTCCCGTGCTTTTTCCACGTGATGTGCGGCCCTGCTTACCAGGAAGATGCAAAATTTTACATGAGCAGCAACTGTGCATTGTGGGATGTGACACAACTGCTTTTTGTGCATACCCGGCTGCCCTCCACAGAAGGGATGTGGGAAATCGGAGGTGTCCAGTGATGCCTGCTAGGGATGAGGAGGAAGGTGGAATACGTCACCTTAACCAGCACCATTTAAAGATCTTACCTGAAAATCTTCCTCATCTTGCTACCTAAGTGTAATGTGGCACTGAGCACTTTATACAGTTGAAAACAAGTGGAAAATCAGAAAAACTTCCCATGGCTTTTAGGATACTGAGAATAGATTTTATTCTTAAAACCAAGCGCAGTGGCACCCAGCTGAAATTTCAGCAGTCTGGCAGGCTTGGGGAGGCAGGGAGGATCACAAGTTTGAGCCCAATCTGAGCAGCTTATCCAGACTCTGCCTTGGAAATCTAAGAAAAAGGGGAAGGGGGCCTGGACTCATTGCAAAGGCCCTGGCTTCAGTCCCTAGTACTGCTAAATACACAAACATCTGAAGACAGATCAGGATGCTGAGGCAGGAGAACTGCAAGTTCAAGTGCCACCTGAACATCTTGATGAGAACTGGTTTCAAAAATTTAAAAAAGAAGGACCGAGGATTTAGCTCAGTGGTTCTGCCACCTGCCTCACAAGCGCAAGGTCCTGCATTTGATGCCTGGTACCTGCCCCAAAGATTGTTTTTAAATAAGGACCTGAAGTGTAGCACTGTGGTGGACACAAATAGTCAATACCATTGTAGCATGCTAACATGACCTATGCTTAATGGGTAGGGAAAGAAAAATCCTGAAATTAGCCATATACCTAGGCCTTTTGCTCTCTGTTCCATCTGACGTAAACTCCTGCAGGAAAGAAGTCTCATCCTCGTTCTTACAGGTAGAGAAACCAAAGCAAGTATAATTTAATTTGTTAAGTGCTGTTGGAATTTCTGCTTTAAATCTGGAGATTTTGTTCCCATCTCTCTTGAGATACTTGTACATAAAGTCCAAAATATAAAGCCAACAGTTATAAAGACTAAAGCTTAGTTGAACAATAGCTGGGCATAGTGGCACAGGCCTGCTGTAATCCCAGTACTTGAGCAGCTGAATCAGAAGGATTGCCATGCATTTGAGGCCAGCCTGGAAATATACAGGAGAGAGATCCTGTCTCTAAAAACATACCCATACAGCTGGGCATGATGGTCCATGCTTGTAATCCTAGCCCTCAGGAGGCTGAGGCAGGAGGATTACTGAGTGCACAGCCAGCCTGGGGTACGTAGCAAAATCCTGTTTCAAAACAACAAAAGCTTGGTTGAACACTGTGTTAAGTACTAGAGAGGAGAAGTGATGAGATATTTTATGTAAATGACTCATCTTTTTAGAAATTAGTAAAATGTTCAGTTTGCTCAGAAGTAAGTGACTTACCTAGAAATAGATCAACAGACTTTTCCTCAGTGTGCTCAGTCTATAAATATTTTAGTTGGGTGAATGACTGACTGCTCTTAGGTGACTCTCAGCAGAGAACATCGTATCAGTGTCACGTTCCTGGTTCGGAAAGGTCTGCTGAGAGTCAGTTTTTGTGTTTTCCTTTCCTTCTGGGATATCAGCAAAGACCAGAAATCTTTATGTTCTCTGTTTTCCTGTTTGTTTTTTCGAGGCCTATTCTCTGTGATTATCTATACTTTTCTGGTTTTACTAGTCATTAGGAAGTTATTCTTTCAAGTACACAGACTTGACGAGAGTAGGCAGATCTTAGCTGTGTTGTGGTGGGTTTACCCTGAAAGAAGACGTGTGTGCCTCTGCCACATTGGAATGAGAGCTGCTCTTGTGCTTGATGAGCTTTTTTCTTCTTTTTCTTTTGTTGTTGTTGTTGTTGAGACAGCTTCTCACTATGTAGTTCAGGCTGGCTTTGAACTCACTATGGAGCCCAGGCTGGCCTTGAACTCATGGCGATCCTCCTGCCTCAGCCTCCCCAGTACTGGTGCCACAATGCACAGCATGCTTGGTGAGTTTAACCAGCATGACAGCCCCGTTCAATAAGAACCAGGCCGGTTCTGGGCTCAAGGTCTGCTGCACCTTCCCATTATGTTGCTCCAGCATGGGTATGCCCGTGAGGACATTCTCATTTTTACCTGAAACTAAAAAAACAAAGCATATATTTGGCTACATATGCCCTTTTAGGGGGTATCTTCCAGGTTGTTTTCCCCTATTTTGAAACTTTTCCTGTTGGAAATAGAAAATTTTCTTTTTGTTTGCAGTACTACAGCTTGAACCCAAAGCCTCAAATAAGCTAGGCAAGCACAAGTCATTTGTTTCACTTGACAGCCTTACTTCAAAAGAGAATTTGTGACCTCTTGGTGTTTGTTGAAATAGAGTATAATCAAGTACTGATACTAGAGGGACCTTAAAAACCATGTGCTAATAATTAAAAGCCAGCAGACTGGGCTGGGGATTTAGCTGAGTAGTTCCACCACCTGCCTCAAAAGGGCAAGGTCCCGAGTTCAATCCCTGGTACCAAAAAAAAAGAGCAGATAGAAATGTCGTGATTCCATTTATATGAAATGGTCTAAAATAGGCAAATCTGGGGGACCTCTCTCATGGGTTGATGGTTTCTTAGGGATGAGTGTTGGCTCATGAGTTAGGGATGAAGAACATGTCCTCAGATTATATACTCTTGGCTGTATAACCCTGTGAGTGTATTAAAAACCATAGGCTTTGACCGGGTGTGGTGATGCACGCCTATAATCCCAGCACTCGGAGGCTGAGACAGGAGAATCTTCAAGGCCAGCCTGGGCTACATAGTGAGTTCCAGGTCAGTCTCAACTACATAGTGAGACTCTGTCTCAAAAAACAAAAGACAAAAAACATGCTTCAACACCCAAGCTTGGTGGTACTTGGCTGTCATTGTAGCACTTGGGTCGGGGGGAGTCTGAGGCAAGAGGATTGCCACGAGTTTGAGGCCATCCTGGCCTCCGTTGTGAATTCAAGGCCAGCCTGGGCTACATAGAGAGACTGTCTGGAAAAATAAAATACCAGCCATGGGCTAAGTGGGTGTGTTGTACAGTACATGAATTACATCAGAGTAAAGCTGGTACACGTGCACCCCACACACCAAGGAGGGTAAGAATGTAGAATTTCAACTCAGCAACTATGAAATGAGAAATACACATAGTTGTAAACTATCAAAGATTTTCTTCTACATCATTTCAAGATGAATTTTAAAATACTGAATGTTTTAAAGTATTGAATCCTAATATTCACTTGTTTCTCTAGTATTCAAAATAATCATGTTTAGCCTAACAGTGAGGTAAATACATTATTTTGACGATGAAAGTATCAAGAAATTTTGTCAGCTAAATTCTCGTAGTCACCATGCTGATTTCGCAGCTCTGCTGGTAACTGGTCTTCTCCCTCTCTCCTCTCTCCCCATGTGCATCTCATCGCTTCGGCGCCCAGAGGAATGCAGTAGCATGGATAGTTGATGGCGAGTTTGGAACCCACGACTTCTGTTTAACTTAAAATTAGTTGTATTTTAATGGCTTGGGATTTGGTGCAAACAAACATGATTGATAGCTGGACAGACATGCTCGTCATGAAAAAAGAACCATTTCTGAAGCCCGACTGGGGCCAAACATTTCCACCTTGCTTCATAGTAACCAGTTGAGATGAAGCACGTCGTAGAGCGTTGTTGGACACCATGTTGAATACCCCCCATCGGTCGTGAAGAACTGTGCTACATTCAGGCTTCCCCACTGAACTCAGTATATATATTTTTTTCCCTCCTGCCTTTTGTTTGGCAGGTTACCATTCTTGTTGCTCTTCTGTGTAATGAAGTTTAAATGCTTGTTTGGAAAACTTTATTTAACAGTTTAGAAGGCTTGATAGAAAGAGTGCATTAGTCTGAAGAGTATACATTGGATAGGAAAGAATTTCCTTTTGTTTCTCCAAATCTTTCCGCCTTACTTAGCTTGAGATCTTTGCAGCTTGGTTCATGGATTCTAGCCTTGCCCATTGCGCAGTATATACTGATGCAGATGACAAACCAGTGAACTATGTCAAAAGCACTCTCAATACTACATTTGACAAAAAGTTTTGTACTTTTCACATAGCTTGTTGCCCCGTAAAAGGGTTAACAGCACAATTTTTTAAAAATAAATTAAGAAGTATTTATAGGATTAAAGTGACTTCATTTGTATACATTTGGAATCTAAACCAGCTTAAAACAGCTCCCTCTACAACTTAGATGTGCAGTATAACTGATGCTCTTCGGAATTCCACATGAGACAGTCAGAGACAGTGCTTGGAAGGAAATTCATAACCACCCTTTAAAGGTTCCCCCTTTTGTTTTCTCTCTCCAGTGAAACTGGTTTCTGATGTTGAAATTCATGCTTCAAAAAGAATTTTCAATGTACCAACATGAGATCAGTGGTTAATTTAGGTTTTCAAACATCTTGTCTCAAGTTCTCAGATTGGAAAAGTTATTTTGATGTGATCTAGCGAAAGAGTAGAAATTAGATACAGACATTGATAGCTTACTTGAGACTGTTAAAGGAATCCAGTAGCTTACAAACATGCTTAAACTTGGATGCAATCCTCCCAGTCCCTTCATATTTTGACATACAGAGATAGTAAGTTGAAGAATAGTCCTCCTCAGATTTTTAGATGTTGCCATACTGAGCCTCATTCTCCACTGGTGCTGTGTGGGTACTTTTCCTCACTGGTTTCCTTCATGGAAAAGAACTTTAATTTTGAGAATTTCACATTTAAAATAAGCCAAAAGCCTGATGTGCACATTGTATTTTTAAAACCCATGACAGCTGAGTGCAGTATGTTTGGTCTCCTTTGAAACCCTGCTGCTCTTCTGTAGGAGACACCTAGGGTGCCGCAGCTGTCCGGGGAAGAGTGGGGGCACCCCCACAGTAAATTCTGCGGAAGGACTCTGTGCAGTTCCCCTGGAAGTCTGGCCAAGTCTACAGTATGGCAGGACTGCTCCTCCAGGAACCACGGAGGAGGGAAGGCTTGGGCCCAGGAAGTCTTACCTTGTGGGTTGATGGAAGGATTGGCAGCAAGGAGAAAGGGAAGTCAGGGAAAGAAAAAGGAAAACACATTGGGCCTTAAAATAGCGGGCGTCCTTGCAAAAGCCCATAGTAGGAGAAAATGACAAATCATGGTCAGATTATTTTATCAAGTTGGTATATAAAATATTACTTTAAGCTCCATTTTGCAGAGACCACCACTTAAGAGAATTCCTCTTTTGATATTTCTAAGTTAACTATGTTACCATTTATCTGGTATTTTTTTCTGACTAAAATTAATTTTTACTTTAAGCTTGAATAAAAATCTTCATTGGTAACTATATAGTTAAGTGGCAACTTCTCTTTACCTCAGTACAGTTAGGACCATTGATTGCCGTGTACCCTGAAGCCGTTAATACCCCCACCCACCCCGTCCCCCAGAAACAAGGATGCAGGCGCAGGCGCCGCACAGCCGTTAGCTCTGGCACATCTTAACACTCGCCGAGATCTGTGCCCATCCAGGGCAACTTGGCACTGGGATTCTTCTGCACCCAGGCCCCCACAGACCTGAGTTTTCACAGTGCTTCTGAAGTATAGTAAGGAACACTTGAAAAAGAGTGGAGTAAAGTGAGGCACATTTACAAGAACGTAACTCCTTGTGAAAATGGAGTGACAACTATGCAAAGGTTTTCATAGCAGCTAGGTGAGTTTGCTTTCCAGGGGTGTCTAACCTAACCAGCAGCTTCTGATACACTGGTACTTTGCTGTGCCAATTTGCTGTAAATGTCTGTTTCCTACGATTGCCATGCAGTGACTGCTAGAAAGGTGGAAGAAATGAAGTAATCTAGGATTTCATAATGTGATAACCTGATGGCAGGATTTTCTAACCCATAGAAATGGCTGAAAACTTGTAGTAATGCTGTAGACTATAGTAGCTTTAAGAGTGAGAATACTATCAAGCCAGCCACAAGATACTAACAAATATCAAAACTGAAAAGTACCAATACTTTTTGCACATAGATCAAAATAGAGTGGAGAATTTTTGGCTCCAAAAAATCAGGTTAGTAGGCTCATTTCCATGTGTTTAAAAATGTTTTTGTTAACTAATGTATTAAGGGCTAAAGCGAGAATGAAATGAAATGTCTTTTTCCTCCAAATAACTAGTTACTAAGGGTCACATTTTAGATGTGGGGATTACCAAGATTGGTGTGTGGGTGGTGATAAAGGATTAGAATGGGAGTTGGGAGGGATGAAAGCTTGTTTGGTTTTTTGTATTTTATTAGTATTGGTGCCAGTTACATTTCTGTTGCTCTTACTGGCCACATAAATGTTCTAATAATCCAGGTAAGTAGTTAAGCAGAAGAAATTTGATTTACCAGTGTCCCCACAAATTGATCCATTTTATTGGGTGGGAAAACTAAAAAAGGATTGCCTAAATTTAATTAAAATAGCCTGCTAATTGGAAGGAGGAAAAAAACCCCAATTCTGTCAGTATTAGTCTGAAAATACTAGTAGTAAGGTGAGTTAATTAGGAGTGTTCTGCCTCTAGAGTGGCATTCCATGACATTAATAGAAAACCCTTCTGTCCCACCCCTCCCCGTCTTGGAATTTTCTTTTCTAGGATGTTGCCTCCTGCAAGCCAGCCCTGAGCCTGGCTCCCTGTGGGTCACTATCGCACATCTGCAGGGAAAGTGTCCCTGCCACTTTCTTTCACAGCAGAAGAAGGCTGCTTTTGAATGGGGAGGAAAGAAGACATTTGTCTTAATATCCTTTTTGTCCCATCTCTAAAATGTATAAATATTTTGATTTAATTTCTCATTTAGACTTTAGCAACTTCTTTTGGGTTGCTGTCCAAAACATTACATTTCAGAAACCATATCTGATTTAATATATAAACTGCTAACCTTAAGAAGAGGTGAAATTGAATTTACACTTAGACACTTTCTAAAAACAGGGTGAATTTAAAATCTCTCAGTGTTTTTAAGCTATTGTTACAGTAGCTACCCTATAGTTGAAAAAGCAAAAACTATAAAAACCCACTGTCTACTTAATCCAGATAGCCTGGATTTAACAAAGCTAATAGTATAAAAATGTGTGTATGTGTATGTTGTGTGTGTGGGGAGAGAGTACTTGATTCATAAAAAGTCCTTGCAACAGCTGTTCCAGGTTCTGTCAATCTTCCTCAGTCTCGTGCACATATGAAGTGCCCTCTCTCAAGTTTAAGGTTTGGTTAATAACTGACACATTTTTGTAAGACTGAAATTGTGTCCCCATCTTAACTTAAAGCATTGTCAGGGTCGTTGTGCCAGAACTGAATCATATTTGTAGGCACAGATGGAAAGACTTAGTGGCTCCTTGAAAGTGTTTGGGGAGGGAAAAGCTTACAGAAGCATGTAGGGACTTGAAAACCAAGCTGTAGAGATCAAGGGGAGAACAGTATCTGTCGACCTCAAGATTCTGAATTGTCACGATTTACATGGCATTGTGGTGGAACTAGTTAACACTTTTAGAGCTTTTGGTATATAATTACTATTTGCTATGGACTGATTAAATGTTTCAAAGGATTGTGTTCTTAAATTTTGGGTTTTTTTTTTTTTAACTGCCTCAGATTATATTTAGTAGTTTAAACTTCTTTATTATTTCATTAAAGTATAAAAATTTCAGGTCTCTGATATTTATTTTCACTTGTTCTAATTATTTACAAAACACCCCTTTGACTTTTATTTTATAAATATGTAGAATATTACATGTCTACAATTTTTGTTCAATTGAAACATTAACTTTGATTTGCATTACTGAGGTTTTTTTAAAAATAAGCTTTTTCCATGTCAGTGCCCAGCATTTAACCAGTCATATTCATATTCCTTTTCTTTCAGTCCAATAAACAGAATGAATAACTGATTCTTGTTGTACTACACCTCCTTATGCATTCATCTGAGTACAGAATCTGTATATGTAGTGCCATGGTTACCTAACACATGTGGCATGCTAACCTTAGTCTCATGTGTTTGCCTCAGTCTTGTGAGTGGACTCCAGGGTGTTGGGGTATCAATCCTGGGTAAATTTAAAGCTTAGGGGCACTGCATTCTAAAGGAATTACTTGCCTCATTTTGTTCAAAAATATTACTACATCTGAACTTCATTTAAGCGGTGGATATGTTGATGAGTGGAGAAAATGTATTTCCAGTTTGAAATGAGGTCCATTGCATAATTAGTAGAATTATGTAGTTTTCTAAGGATTTCCTTGAAGGTATTAGCAGTTCTCTGAAGCATTCCATGGAGAAAGCATTCAGTGTGTCCAAACCCATACCCCTTTTTGTATTTATGACAAAAACCCCAGTTCCTTTATCAGGATGTTACTATTGATATAAGCTTTAAGATGTTTTTATCTTAGCAGACAAAAAGGAAGTTCACGTGTGGAAATTAGTGTTTGGTGCCCAACCAAGGAAGGGTGAGTGGAAGACAGTGGTACAGTGCAGTGGCAAGGTCTGTGTCCTGCCGTTACCGGAGAGCCCGCCATTTGCGAGAAACGGAAGATTCCCCACTTGTGTTCTTTAATCTTGCCTGTCTTTGTGGCTATTTGCTCACCCTATAGGAAAACAGTACTCTAAGCTAGTAAATCAGCAAGTAATTATAGCTAACATGAAAAACAGAAGGCCAAGCAACAGATTTTCAGTGAAGTTTTAATGTCTTAAATGTGAATTCCTGGCTGCTGTCCTCTATTTAAGTTGATTCACCTCTACCTGAGTCCCTCACATGTTACTGCATGAGACTTTTTAAATGTCTTTCATAGCCTCAGGTAAAAATTTTAAAACATGGATGTCCATAGATCATATCTAGATTTCAAATGAATGAATGTGCAAAACGTTCTCCTTTGCTATATAATTAAGCAGAACACTGGGATTTGTATTCCAAATAATTTCTAAAGATTGAGTTGAACAGTATCAGTGATCTTTGGTTTTATGATCAGCAAAAACTAAGTCATTTAAGAGAAGAGACAGATGCATTTCTTCCTGGTTTAAAAAAAAAAAAAAAATCTGGTTCTTAATCCTGTAGCTTGAAAACATTTTAGATGTCCCTTTTCCTATGAGCACATTAGACCGGGCTCTTGCCCTATTAGTAGTTTGGGTAGAAAGACCTTTTCAGTCATTTCCTGTTAGGTGTTCATGAAGATGCCAAACCAACCTGGTTTTAATTTCCTTTCTGTTTTCTCTTGCACTGCTTGGTTACAAGAATACCACAGGAGTGCTTGAGTGTATGCCAGCGTACCTGGCTCCTGCTCACTTTGTTTTCAGATGATAAACTCAGGCTTATAAAAAAAAATTTTACTGATGCTGAAGCATGTGAATTAATTCTAATTCCAAGTGCATATGACCCAACGTGGAGCTTTTATCAGATTTCAGATAACCCATTTTCAGACCTTGAGTCCAAGGAAAGATGTGGAATTTTTTTTAACACCCCAAATAATACAGTATCCACCTGGCACCAGTTCACTTTTTGGTGTTTGACTATCATACTACAGCACTGTATGTCACCACAGAGATGAGAGGCCACAAATTAGAAACAGAATCAAGTTTTATGTTCAGAAGAGCTAACCTACAACATGTACACATGGTCATCGGGAAGCAGCAAAATGAGTAACAGGTGCTACTGGGTAACTCTCATACACAATTCTCTGAATGCTGTATAGGGCAAGTACTTGATAATTCCCATTTTTAAATAAAGGGAATAGGATTAAAGAAGCAGCTCAGACTGGGAATGTGGTGCTGTGCCTGCCTGGCAAGCACAAGGTCCTAAGTTTGATCCTCAGAACAACAAAAAGAAAAGCTCAGACTCAAACCTGAATGCCTCAGAGCTTGTGATTTTAGTCACTACATCATATAATCAGTATTCCCTTGGTCTAATCAGTATTTCTTTGGGCACTTAACTTGGAAAAATTGACTTAAAACTTGTTGCAGGGAAGTGAAGAGTTTAAGGCCCTACTTTACTGATTCTCATTAACTGTCAATTCACAGATGACAATTGACATGCAGATTTGTCCATACAACTAAAGGCAGATACATCATAGCAAATTTGAGTATCTGTACACCATTTTGTAAATTCATAGGTAGTTAAAATCATCAGTTCTTTTTCTGGTCGAGGTGGTGCACACCGATAATCCCAGCATTCAAGAGGCTGAGGCAGGACTGCCAATGAGTTCAAGGTCATCCTGAACTACACAAACCCTACCTCATAAAAAAAATCGTTGATTTTGGAGTTCAGACCTGAATATAAATCCTGTCACTCAGTGTAAGTTATTACTTAGCACATCAAAGCTTAGTCACATATGTAAAAGCAGCTAATAAGTAGCTCACTGAAGAGTATTGTATATAGTAAAATTAAGAGACGTTTTAAAGTACCAGAGGGGAGAGACAAGACAAAATCAGGAATACTGCAGGTCCTACACAGTAATTAATATGTCAAATGACCTATTTAAGACGTTAGAAAAGGTGAACCTAAAAAAGAGATTTCAGAGCCATTAAGCAAATACCATGTATTTAGTTACATTATGTGATTCTCAATGTGAACAGGCCCAAGTTTTGAGACACATAGTAAGATGTGACAGATGTAATGATGTTTGGTATTTGTTGTCAGGGTGGTCAAGGAAGGTAGTGGGCTGTGGATGAAAGCATTATTGTAACCAGTAAATAGAAAATTACCCACTAGTGTGGTTTAGGCCCATTGTGCTCCTAAAAGTTCATCCATTCCCAAAGCCGTACCACCACCACCAGCGACCTCTCTACAGCAAGCAGACAGCACTGGAAACACCGCCTTCTGCCAAGCTGGCAGGCTCAGCACTTGCTCCATTGGCATCGGGTTGGCCTACGAGACCAGCTGTTGTGGATCACATCAGGTGATGAGACATTGGACTGCAGAAAGCCGTTTCTAACTTGATTCCATGTTAACCACCTCTCCCTGCAAGATTATCAATTTCAGTGAATGAGGATTGTTAGTGCGGTCTCCAGATACCCGCCCCCCCCGCAAGGCCTCATGCAGTCATAGGTGGGGCTTTTTCAGAGGTGGCTAATTCCAGAGCACGTGATGCTGGGTTCAAGGACGCGATTGCCAAGCCCGCTGATTAGTTTGGCATAGTTCTAGGCAGGATTAAGGGTGCCCCTCCTGGGTGTGAGTGCTACCTGTTCCAAGGGTGGGTAGGCTGGGTAAGGGACTGAAAGAGGGTCATCACTTCTTGTTTACTGCTTGCTGCCTTCTCTGCCATGCCCCTCTGCCATGCCACCCTGCCTTACAGACAGCCAACTATGAACTACACACCCGGTGAGCTAAATAAACCTGTGCTCTGTGCTGCTTGTGTTGGGTATTTTGTCTCAAACTCCTTTCTTGTTCATGCGTTGGCCTCCTGTCCCAAGTACATGGTTCCTAGACCAGCAGAAGGGAGATGACACGGAACAGGGATTTCTGGGTGCACAGGAGTAAGAAGGTGCTGGAGAGTGTCGGCAGCAGGTTGCATATGCCTCAGTCAGTGCCAGGCTGAGGCCAGCCCAAGGGTGGGTACTCTGCTGACAGGACAGCTGTTTCGTTCCTGCTACCTGACAGATAATCTGACAGAAGGCGCGTTTTAAGAAAGGGAGCTTAATGTTGTTAAACTGATTAATGTTTTAACAAAGTTCTAATGTTTATGGGAGTATATCTCAGGAAACGAGAGTAAGTATTAGCCAACACATTTTAGTGCAAGTAGGTTCTAATGTTCAAGGAGAAATAGTAGATGAAACCATGTTGCTCCATAACTGATACAACAAAGGGATCCACAGTCAAACCGCTGAGGTCCCAGCTGGCTGGCTGACCAGCCACCCAATCTTGGCACAGCCTCAGAGAATGCAGTGGGAGATGAAAGCAGCCTCTTCCAAGGGCCTTTTTCTAGAGAGCACCTGGTGTGTAGTACCATATTAGCTTGTGCTCACCCAAGGCTTTAAGCAGCCCTCAGTCATTAACAAAACACTGGCTTTTCTGCGCTTTAGATCATTCATGAAAAGTATGGCTTAGTCCAAAAGGCTTCACTGACAAACTTATTTATAACTGAAGCCTTATTAATTGCAGTTTTACTACAACAAAAATATATCAATATGTTAATGCTACCGAGAAAAAGTCTTATTTGGCTTGATGTATCAAACTTTAGGTAGCAGAGATCTAGAAAGTAAATAATTTCAAATTTACCTGTCTTTACCCTGCTGCCTATTTCCATATGCTCCAGTTTTACCTAGATGTTTTTTGGACAATTACACCTAGTATATGATACTTTGGACAACTACTTCTGACAAAATATAAATCATGAGCAGTGCTGATCTCAGCAGTCTCCTCTCCTAGCCTAACAGTGTTAGAGTATTCAGTGTCGCTGCCTGAAAAGTCACAGTGCTGGGCTGTGACTCACTGTTTAGAAGACATCAGTTAGACTTCCCGCTGGAACCACAGTCAGACTTATGTGTTACTCAACACTCATTTATTGTTTCTGTGTGCAGGGCACAGTGGTAGGTGCCAGGAGAGAAAGGAAGATACAAACATGAGTTTGCATGGACTCTGCCCTCTAGGAGCGCACAATCTAGCAGATTAACTGCACACAGGAACTGTGACACCAGACAGCAAGTGATGAATCACAGGAGACCAAGGGCTGCAGGAAGCTTTCTTAGCCCAACACCAGGCCAGGCCAGGGATAGCTGGCTGGCCTCCCATCCCATGGTCATTGGTGTGGTAGGCAGGAAAGGGCAGCACAGGGCCTGCCAGGCTCTGATGGACTCAACTGCATCTTTGCTCTCAGCTGAGGCTCCAGGTATTAGCAACAGGGCCTGCTATTGCTAGAAGGACAGCAGGAAAAGGGCAGAGGAAGTACCCAACTCACAGACGGAGACTGGGATATGGGAGCACCCAGGGTGACCTGCACCAGCTGGTCCCAGTTCCAGCCCAGTTCTTTACACTGGACAGTGTGAGGAGGGAAAGCAACAGCCCTGCACACAACATCAGGATCCCAGGTGCTCACACTTGAGCCCTGACAACCTGCAGGCCCTCAGACCCAGTGAGGTGCTCCACAACCCTCCCATTGGTACGAAGCATAAGAAATTGACCTTCGGCATCTTAATCACAGCTATTTTAAAGTTGGAGCTTCTCTGCCCCTTTTCGTCATTTGTAGTACAGCCCTTAAAAAAAAAAACTAGAGTGGCTCGTCTCACTCCCTTTCTAACTTTGGTACAGACAAACAATACAAGAAAGAGTTTTTGCTTTTAAACAGAGTTAATGCTTCAGAGGGAAAGTGCTGCTGGTCTTGCTACATGCAAGGCAAGGTACCTCTCTCACCTACTCAGTAACCTAACCTGACATGTGAACCCACAACCCCGAGGCACTTGGCTCTGTGGGTACTGGTTTTGGTTATTAGGACAAAACATCTGCTCACCACTCTGAGCTACTTTAAGTAGCTTGTTAGTCTCTGGGTGCTAAGGATTTAAATTCCCCAACAGCTTCACAAGCTTGAGCAGAACGTAAAGAGTCACTGGAAGTTAGGGGAAAGGACTTTTTTAAACAGAAGGTGCATCCGAGAGAAAGGGGAAAAGAGATCTGGTACCAGCTGCTTGGCCCGTTGCCTGGCAGAAATACATATCACAGGAGAATCTGACCACCCCCCCAAGAGGCCAATAGAGCCACGGCCACTTTTCCTACCTCGTTTCTCCTTTCTTGTGTTGCTGGGCAGTCCTTCCACCCTGAAACGTCGGCTGCAGGGGAGTTGAGCTTAGTGCTCCCTGGCTTCCACCAAAGCTAGACTTAATCCAAGGCTGGAAGGACACAGAACAATTAACACTGCAGAGGCCACATACCTTGACCACCCCCCATTTCTCATGTCAGAGGGAACACCCCCTCTGGACTCCATCATAAAAACTCAGTCATGATTTGCCTAAATGCCAGTGCTGAAGACAGCAACATCGAAGCACCAACTAGGACTGAGGAGGAACAGCCAGGCTCGCCGTACATCCAAAGGCTGGTGGAGAGCAGAGGCGGCCAGCCACACTCACCACCCAGTGATACTGCCGTGCACATGAAGTGGCTTGTACAGGGTCTCCTGATTCAGAGTAGTCAGTGCTAAACAGAGGGGCTGCAGTTAATCCTGGTACCAAGGAGGACAGTAACGGGCCATTTCACTGACAATGCTGACCTCCTGCTTCTAATGAGCACCTTCCACCCTATTACTTCTCCATACCCATTAAAACATAATACAACCAGAGCAGTTATAATACAGACAGAAGATCCAGCAAAAGCCAGGGGTATTATATGGGTTTGGGGTGATTGTGAAAGCAGTAGCTTTTAAACAAAAGCACTGATAAAACCTTGGTTTTATAATTTATTTTTCCTTTGTATAATAATTACACTGTATCTGGGCAATGGCTTATCAGGTTTCATAGATACTGCAAAGAAATATGTGTTGTGTGGAATGTCATTTTCTGTTAACATTCTTGTGCACTCTCAGCTGACAGTCTCATAAATTTTAAACCATATTAATGTATGAAGTTGCCACAATACAGGCAAAAAGGGTAAGTGAGTCTTGTCTCTTGGCCAGAGGAGCAATGCTGTGTGGAACTCTCAGTCCCGTGCCTCATCTAGTGAGCATCCCTTAAGTGGTCTTCCTCGTGCTGTGGCGTGCAAGCCCATATACAGTCCTACATCTATACACAAATAACCACCTTCACGTATTGGGCTAAAGTTGAGACCAGAAATCTACAAAACTCAATTCATATTTTAAAATACTTTATATGGTAAAAATACAGCAAAAATAGGTGTTTGTTCAAAGACGAAAATATATACTGCTATGGTCACGGTTCTAAGGATGGTTTAAGCAGTCTCTGGCTTCTCCAATGGGCACTGTAGTGCAGGCTGACTTCAAACCATGGCTTCTCCAGCTTCAGTCATTTATCAAAGCTAAAATCATACTGCGGGAAGAAGAAATTTGTGTTACATGTTTCCTTAGGAGGCCTCCCACAGAGTCTGGTTTGTCCAGATTGGCGTCCCTGAGGATCCTCAAGGAACACTCACTGGAGTAGAAGACAAGCAATTATACCCAAAAGAAAATATATTAGGACTTCTCAATGCCCTAATATTTTCACTAAAAAATGTCTGCAAGTGAAGGTTGGGGAGTATAACCTGAAACCAATTAAAAGTTATGCCCAGGCAAAAAGCTACTTGCGTTCACTGTAGGGACTCTTGGCAGCTCCTTTAGTCACTTGTGGTGCTGCACTGTCTGATACATAGCTGTCACCCAAAAAATGCCCTATGAAAACCTAGTTAACCATGATAAACAGCCATTTTCCTTTTATATGCAAGAATCACCCTTGATCCACTAAGATTGCATGACTAAAATACCTGTATATTACTAATAGTATAGATAATTAGTTAGCCAAACTTAGTCACATCAGAGGTACTCAGTGAACAGGACAGACCAATGGTAGCAGCTAACAGTTCTAAAAGATTTTTGAGAGTTTACTGTAGGTCAAAATAACCCTAGATGCTTCACACATGATGTTTCCCTTACCTCACTACAACAAGGTAGGCATTATTCATAGTCCATTTTCAGAAGAAAAACTGAAGCACACGAAAGTTAAGAAACTTGTTCTAAGCCAAAAACATGCAGCAGAAAGACAGCTTCTTTAAAAAATGGTGCGAGAAAAGCAAGTTATTCACATGAAGTATTTAAATTAGATCTATCTCTCTCACCCATACTAAAAAGAAATCAATATGGATCAAAGAGCTACATACTAAAACAGAAACTTTGAGACTATTGGAAGATTAAAACAAGGGAAATACCTGAACCATAGGTCAGGCAAAGACTTCCTAAAGTCTAACAGCACAGGAAATATAAGAATCAACAAATGGGATTAAGCCAAAAAAGTTTCACACAGCAAAGAAAACTAAAGAGACAACCTATGAAGCCGGGCGTGGTGGCGCACGCCTGTAATCCCATCACTTGGGAGGCTGAGGCAGGAGGATCAAGACCAGCCTGGGCTACATAATGAGTTCCAGGTCAGTCTCAACTACATGGTGAGATCCTATCTCAAAAAAAAAAAAAAAAAAAAAAAAAAAAAAA